GCAAGTTCGAATAATTCAATTTTTATATTGAATTGAGCTAGAGTTAAAAAAATAAAACTCAATCGAGTTTGGGCCGAGTTTCGAGCTTCAAATTTCGAATCAAACTCGAGCTCGAGCTTAATACTGTATCAACTTGAATTCGATTGATTACACCTCCAGATACTATCAAAGATTTCCATGTAAATGTAATACTTGGAGGAAACAACAAAAACATCAAAATAAGCCACGTTAAAAGGAAAAATAATTTTTTATTGCTGCCATCCACTTGGGAATCGTCAGACTAATGCTCGTCTGATGAGGAAGTGTTATTCACTTGTTTAGAGCTTAATTAGATACATGTAGTTGAATACCAATATCTCTATCTACCAGAAACAGCCTACTTTAAGCTGCTGAGATACCCTACTCATAGTTGGTCGAGACAGGGTATTGGCACCACAACATAGGATTGCAATATTTAACACGAATGATAATTCATCTTCAAGTTTTTGGTCCACAGGAGAAGAGGGACGGGGATCTAAGACATCTTCCAAGCCGATTTTCTGATCAGGGGATGAATGGAGATAGGATATAAGCTCCCCAGGATGGTTTCCCATCAAAACTTCAAGTGCCAAAACGCCATAGCTATATACATCGCATTTTTCTGTGACTGCCGTGGAGTAAGCAAGCTCTGCAGCAACAAACATTCTTTGATTGATGATGGAAATTTTCAACCTTGTTTTGCAATATATATATATATATATATATATATATATATATATATATATATATAAATGGTCCTCTAAGTTATATTGATGATGTTGTTTTGCTATTTTACTTTCAAACCAAAACTGGAAATTAAGAACAGTTCATTGCCACTAAATATCCAATTTCTCACATAAAAATTCGTTTGAGAATATTGAAAAAATTACCGCTATTATGAGCATGGAAGTTTTAACAATGGATTTTCCGAAATCAGCTAAAGATTAAGTGATATATGGCTCAGGATTCTTAGATCATGAATACTCAAGTGTGGAGAGACTATGAGAGAAAGCGAGAGTGCAAATGCAGATTACCTGGAGCAACATAGCCATAAGTTCCTGCAACTGCAGTCCAGTTGGATGAGTTAGGATTCAACAACCTTCCAGTGCCAAAATCTGATACACGGGCCTCAAGTTCAGGGATCAATAAGACATTCTTGCTCGAAATGTCTCGATGAATTATTGGTAGAACGCAATCATGATGCATATACGATAGAGCATGAGCTACCCCTTTAATAACTCTAATCCTTTTCGTCCAATCTAATTCCTTTGCTCCTCGTCATTGCTCAAGATCTTAGCCAAGCTTCCCCTTTCCATAAACTCATACACCAAAAATAAATGTCTAATTTGAGAACAAAATCCATAGAGCTTTACAATGTTTCGATGCCTTATCTCTGTCAGAGCTGCAATCTCATTCTTGAAACTTTTCACCTCCTCCATCTCTATCTCACCATGGGAGCTCAACTTCTTAACAGCAAATACTTGGCCATCTGCCATTTCTGCTTTGTAAACTTCTCCAAATCCTCCCACTCCTCTGCAACATGTCTCGTCAAAGTTCTTTGTAGCTTCAAGGATGTCTTTGTACATGAATTTCCCATTAAACTGCCATATTGGGAAAAGATTTTCTCTTATTGGTATGTCTTCAAGTTCGGACTGATTTACTGATCTCTGATGGAGAAATGCTAAAAGCCATATGCAAACCATTACAAAGACTAATATACTTGCCAAGGATGCAACAACAATAACAACAAACTTGTTCTTATCATTTCCACCGTTCTTCTCTGTAGATGTGGCACTGCAGGGTTTCAAGCCTTGTCTTTCGCCGCATAGATCTTTGTTGCTGCTAAAAGCCTCTGGTTGAGCTGACGAGAAGAAGTTGCTGTTGGGAAGAGGACCCTCCAAGTTATTGTCTGAAAGATTAACGGACACCAAGCTCCAAAGATTGCTAAGCGAAGAAGGAACTTCACCAGAAAGATTGTTGTGGGATAGGTTTAAGTTTTCCAAATTTGTAAGCTTCCCAAACTACCATGGTATCTCTCCAGAAAGTGAATTATAACTTAAATCTAGTTAACCTTGTAGGGCTACAAGATTACCAATTTGATACGGAATTGTACCATTCAAGCGGTTTTCATTCAAACGTAAATTCTGCAGCTTGGAACAATCCCCTAACTGATATGGAATTGGCCCGCTGAGTCTATTTGTCGACAGATCTAGAGAATGTAAATTCGATAGTCTTCCAATTCCTGCGGGTATTTGACCTGAAAGCTTGTTATCATTCAGGCTTAAGGAAAACAATTTCGATAATTTTCCAACTTGTGGAGGAATGGTTCCCCAAAGTTGGTTGGAAGAAAGGTCAAGCTCCACTAATTGGTTCAACTGACTAATCTCAGCAGGGATCTTACCACCTATCATATTACCGGCAGCTTTCAGCAGTGTCAAGTTCTGACATTCTCCCCAATTTGATAAGAGCTCACCACTCAGTTTGTTGTAACTCAAGTCAATATATGGGAGGTTTGGGTACACACCAAAATCTTGGGCTATGTTTCCTGTAAGTTGATTATATTCAAGCCGAACTCTGTACAAGGTCTTGCAAGTCCTCAGGCTCTTTGGGATGGGACCTGAGAAGTTGTTGAAGGAGGCCCTGAAATTGACAAGCTTTCCACCTCCACAAACTTGTGACAGTAAGTTACCACTGAAGTTGTTGACAGCCAGATGTAGAACTACTAATGATGAAAGATTTCCCAACTCTTCCGGTACAAGACCAGTTAAGTGGTTTATGTGCAAATATAGAATATTTAACTTGCGTAAAGTTCCAAAACTAACAGGAATGTTTCCTGAAAGTTGAAGACTGGAAAGCTGTAGAACAGTTAAACTGCTCAAATTACCCAAAGATGGAGGGATAGGCCCATAGAAAAGACTCCCATCTAGAGCTAGCAAAGAAAGATGTTTCAAATTCCCTATCTCATTAGGAATTCTGCCACTAAGTAGAGTATCTTGAAGGAGAAAATTTTTGAGACTAATGAGGCCTGTTTTCGATCGACTAGTTCCATCCGGGAATAAAGACGGGTATAACTCACCCGTTATGTTGTTTCGTGAAATGTCAAGCTCATAAACTTGAGTGAGATTTGCAAGGGAGATAGGAAGCTGGCTGTTAAAAGAATTTGTGGAAAGATCAAGGAACTGGAGTTTTGAAAGCAAACCAATGTTGGAAGGTATTTTGCCCGTGAGCTGGTTTACTTTAAGATCAAGCCGAAGAAGGTGCGGGAAGGAAGAAAAATCTAATTCTCAATGGTACCTCTCAGACCTGTGTTTGCAAGATTTATTGCAATTACATTTCCTGCACTATTACAGGTTATTCCACGCCATCTGCATGGATTCTGAGTAGTAGCATTGGCAGGAGCTGGAGTGACCCATGACTGGAGAATAGACTGATTTTCCAGGCTTTCTTTCCATTTGAGCAAGGCCTCAGCTTCTCTACTTGGGGCAGAATTGGTTTTCCAGGAAAAAGGCAATACCAATAAAGCTAGAAAGAGAGTAAGAGAGAGATACTTTTCTTGGTAATTAGGCATAGTTTCACAAGGCCTTTTCTTTTCTTTTTTTTTTTTCACTCTGGTTCTGGTATTCAATGGCAATGGCATGATTTGCTTATATAGGGTATAAGTGACCTCTTGGCTTCTCACCCGACGTTTGTTAAGACTCCCAAATCCCACATTAATGTGGAATACAGACTACGATTTGAATTGACATTTGTGACAAATTCCCATCAAGATAGTAAAACCACAGTTGAATCATCCCTTGCAAAACGAAACTAGTCTTTTAATCAGCATATTTTCTTCAAAAGTCTTATCACAACTTATTTATTGTGTCAAAAGAATTTTCCCTCAATCAGTATTAAAACCAGAAAAGAAACAAAACGATATAGATTGAATCAAAATTTTAAATGATTGACTTGAAGCCCAATCCCAACGGAACTTACAGGCCTATAGTTGATCCTCTTATGTTATATTGGTGTATAAGATGATCATGAAAAAGATAGAATAATAACCATTCTATATTATATTTGATTTGTATTTAAAAAAAGAGATTAGATTACAAAAAGGATTAAATGTTCTCTTCATATAAGATAATTCAATATTTTTAAAATGAAGAGGATTATTTTTAATTTATGAGATTAATCTTATTTTTATTATTGTATCTTTAAAAATTATATCAACAATACAAATGGTATAATTTTGACTAATAAATAAATTATCTTATTATAATCTTTGCACACATCAAATACAAAATAATATGATATTATTTAATGTAATCCTAATAATAATATTATTTTATCTTATCTTATCATAACTCTATATATCAAATGTATCTTTAGTAAACGTAAGTCACTTTTACTTAATCATTCTTATCAAATATATAAATATTTTCTTTTACTATTAACTATTTTATAAAAATTGTTAAACTTTCTTGTAAATGATGTTTAATTGACACTTTTTTTTTGGCTTTTATGTGAAAAAAAAAAAAAGCAAACTAAAGGTTACTATCAGTATTTGCATATGATTTTAAAAGACATTTGGCTTTATTTTGGAGCTCAATTTGAAGGTATAGCCATAAAAAGCATATTTCAATTAGGTGAGAACCCTCCCAAGCTTCTAAATGGACTGTAACTAGTTAAGTAGTACATAATTAAAAATTAAAAAAAAAGATAAAAAAAGAGATATTTGACTAAGTTGTTAAGATTTTAATTAAAAAATAAAAAATGTATTATGAAAAGTAAATAGAAAAGGTTGCTATCAGTATTTACAAATGATTTGTAAGCTGCAAAAATAATAAAAGTAACTGCGTAATGTATGGACATAATAATAAATTAATTAGTTGGCAGCAATCCGAAGTCATGTAAATCTCCCTACTACTGAATCTCAAAATGAATTAGGCATGGCCAAAAAGAGAATTAAGTAAACAAATTTAGTACAGGAGAAAAAAAGGTTAAGCCGCAGTTCCAGAAACTGATGCTTCACCGGGGAACACGACAATGTCATATGGAAGCCCAGCAACTGCAGCTCCAATGACGGGTCCAACCCAGTAAACTACTTGGTTCTTGAAACGACCAGCAATGACAGCAGACAAAAAGGCCAATGCAGGGTTCATTGAACCTCCAGCGAATGGACCAGCGGCCAAGGCCATGGCTCCTGCCATCAATCCTATTGCCAAGGGTCCATCGGTGCCAAATGGACAAGTTCTAGGGTCATCAGCAGCATAAACGGTGTATACCAATGCGAATGCAAGCACGCCTTCCAGCATGGATGCTCCGAATCCAATCATTTCATTTGCAATCGTATAAGTTGGGACATGCTGCAAAAATTACAGGCACTTTTAAATAAATTGGCTTTCCTTCGTTGTCAGAAGTATTTTACCTGCCAAAAACTTTTAGCACAAATCTTCGAATTTGATTGTTCATGTAAAGCTTCTTAAGAAAGAAGTGCAAAATCATTTATCCTTTTTTTTTTTTTAACTATGATTTCTGTAAAACATTGTTGTTCGCAGGAAGGAAAAGATGAAGGAATGAAATAGGTCGAAGGAAAGATGAGGATATCTTTTTCATAAAAAAACGGAAAGGAAAATGAATAGATTTACGCAACTTCACATCCAAGAAATCCAATATTTTCATAAATCAGAGAAAAATGGAAAGAAAACTGTCATGGAATTTGAACTAATTGTTTTATTTTGTTCTATACTTGCCCTTCTGTCTTTCATTTTTCATCATTTGTAGCAAATATAACAATAACTTTCCTCTGTTTTATCCCCTTTTCTCTTTCGTCCAATCAAACGTAGTGTTAAATAAATTAAACAAAGTTGTATTGCAGTTTTCTTACTGCAAAGTTTACCATTTAAAGGTAATGAAAAACAGAACAAGAGAATAACCTGTGCTTGTAAATGAAGTTAACAATCGTGATAGAAGTGGATTCCCATAAACTTTAGTAGTAACACTTTTTTTTTTTTTTTAATCTTCAGAAATTGAACTACATATGCAACAGATGAAACAGAGTCATTCCATACCTGTGAAACAGTAGTGACCATCAACAAAAGGCAAGCCATGACAGAGGCCAACATCTGAGAAACCCAGTAAAACAGAGCAGTTAGGACATAAAAAAAATTAAAGTATCTACTGTATTGTGATGATTGGACTAACCTTGAAAATGCCATTTTTTTTCATTTTAATCAAACTTGAATGTCATCTATTTACTACATTGATATTGAAATAAACTATGACACAATTGTTACTATCAACTTTTTGAATAATCTCTCAAGATTATTTGGTTGATGAAAAAGTAGCTTTCACACCAAGCTACCAAATTCTTGGACGGCAATTTGATCACATTTTTATAATTATTTTTCTGGGTAAGAATCAACTATTTTTAATTGCCTTATTGATGTAAAAATTTTTGTATATGTTAATCCTTAAGTCTCATTATATTTGTTATTTATTAAATTTTGGATCAAATAAATTCAATTTTGGTCATTATTTTAAGAAAATTGTAAAATTAAAAAAAAAAAAAAAGATTTGTAAAGTTTGAATTTCAAAATTTTAAAACATGTTTTTTAAAAGTTTTAATTCAATATAATTTTTTTAAAAACAATTGTCGAATTGAAGTCTATTGAAAAAATCAAATGTAAACATAGAAAATAGTTAAGAGGAAATAGTAGATTTATGTTGATTGAAATTAAACTTAAATAATATCATCATCTGAAAGACAGCTAAATAATTGTTTATGTGATTTGCCTGTGTGGAGTGTGATTGTTTATCTTTTACGGGAAGGAGGAGTGGGCTGGTTGCATATTAGCTTTACTGGTGGGTCGGGCTTTTACTTTGCACTACTTTGTGTTTCTTTGATCATGAAGGAGAGGGTGTATATAGTTCTTTATAATTGGCCAAGAGAGAAACCTGTCAATGGGATTTTCAATTCACTTGAATTCTTTAGGGTGTATACTTTTTTTCCATATTTTGTTTTCTTTTTCTGTTTGTAGAATACTTCTTTCTCTTCTCTTTCCCTTGTTTCTTGTACCTGATAAAATCCACTGCTGGGAGTGTCCTGTTCTCTCATCGCTGTTCTATAGAGGTAGGATTATTACTTGATAATGATAATATCTTTCAACTTTTTTCTGTTTATTTATTTTATTTTTATTGCTACGACATGGTGGTTTCAGATTCCAAATCATGTAGCCATTAAAATCACTCTCGAGCTCTAGAAGCTGCATATGGATAACAGCCTTTTGGATGTGTATGATTCCCTTCTCTTTCCGTTTTGGTTATAGTTTCGTTGTCTTATCAGTGGTAATTTTTTTTTTTAATTAATGTTCTGTTCATCAAATTGTTATGCAGCTCGCAGTCTGATTTGCCAGCTAATCTTTTTAAGGTATTTCGTCATAACATTTATGAATTTGTCATATGGATGAACTTCCTAATCAAACTCTTTGTGCAGTTAATGGAGCAGCAAGGTTACGGGGAAGAGTACGTAAACCGGTACAAGATGATGACCAGGTCAGATAGCTTCTCAAGTTGATGCCAAACGATTTTATGCTAGCAATTCTGGAATCAAATTTTCATTTTGAACTTCTTTATCACATGTTTATTGCCATCAAAAGCTAATTCACCTCAAGAAAGTTTGCTAACTACGTGATATTGGTGGTTGCTTATTTTTGTATAACAACAGTTTTTTTCCCCTTTGTGTGTAACTATCTTCATTTTTTTATGCTAGATAATTTACCGGTATTGCGGGTCTGGGTTCAATGCATGTCTTCACCCAAATTTAATGATCATAAAGACACGAGTAATGTTGGAATAGTTTTAATTCTGATTATGCATGGCACATTTTTCATTGACTCATTACTTGCCCTTGACTTGTAGTGAGCGAAATATATAAGGAACTTCTACGTGTTGCTTCACTTTGCTAATACTGTTTCTCTTGTTTCTTACTTTCAGATTTCACCATCAAAGGGGTCCTTTGGTGATTCTTGTTTGTGGAACTGCCTGTGTTGGGAAGTCTACAAAAGCTACACAACTTGCACATAGGCTAAACTTGCCAAATATCTTACAGGTGTTTATATACTGAATTTTTTGAGATTTTCTTCTTTCATATTTCTTTCATTGTTCAATCTGTTTCCATGTTTGCTGGTGCATTTAAATTTCTGCTTTCAGTTGTTACAGACAGATATGGTTTATGAATTGCTACGCACATCAACCGAATACGTCTAGAATCAATTTACTTTCTTCTCTTCTTGTATTGTTCAGATTTTTATTCCAATATAGAAATTATCCAATCAGATCAAATCAGTGCTCCAAAGTAAATAAAAAAGATGGTTATCAGTAAGGCATTTTCTTGCTTCAACAAAGGGAGGACAGTTGACATTTGTTGTTCTAGTCATATGTCATCAGTTAGGTTTTGTTTTATATGTGGTAGGAAGGTATTGAGCTTTTGGATCAGAATGGATTGTTGTGGTTTTCAAAGTTGTGAAAGGTCACCTGTGCTACTTATTGGTTACAAGATAGAAGTGTATTTCCATAATCACTTCCTACTCCTGATAAAGGTAGATGAAAAGGCACTACCTTATGATATGTGTGATATGTGCATGCCTATAGAGTGCATCATATTTTAAGTGTTTGTGGTTCATATTAATTGTTTCTTTGCATTGGTTCATTTAATTTAATAAGTTATTTTACTCAAAAATAAAATCATACAATTTCACAACGTGCTATATCATTGCCGGGAAGTAAAGTCTCAGGTGTTGTTTATTTTTGTAGCATTGGTCATGAAAGGGTGTGATACATGAATTTCTGAGTGTGTACAATAAAATAAGCATGGAATCTAGTAGATTATGGCCTTCTTTCCATGAATGAATAGATTGTACTCATGAAAATATCAATACATGTTGCTTCTGTTGTATTTGCAGCAAATTTAGCTCAAATTTGAGCTCCTATCCTTGGATTTCTGTCGATCTTTGGGGTTATTCTTTTTTGTGATTTAATGAATGTAATAGTTAAAATAAGATATCTAGCCGTAACGGATGTTCTATGGGAGCATGGCTATATGTCTTAGAACACAGATGCATGTCACACATGTATTATGTTCATAAGATGAAGTGTGAGTTTGGATCTGTAACCATGTTACCTTGCAGATTGCTATTCTTTCTGGAATATGTAGACTACCTTTGTATTTGTTTTGTTTTTTTGGCTGTATAAGGTTTTAATATGCTTAAATACTGTATCATTTTTTTCCACCTTATCATTGCTTGGGATTTGAAAGCATTGGCATGTTCTTGTGCACCTTAGTGTTTATCACTTTGAAGTGAGTTTTCCTTGTTTCTTATGACAATAACAGGGAATACATTTGGACCCAAGTATTTATTTAATGGATGACGAGCATAAAACTCCAACTGCTATGTCTGAAGGAAATCGATCGATTGCACTATTTGTGGCTTCAGATAATTGATTCTACAGTGCAAACGGAGAATAATTTCTCAAGTATACCTAGAAGTAATATGGAAAATAGCCAACTATCCTGTGCCTTTGGGTGAAGATGTGTGTATTGACCAGCTGAACAAAGTTTCGGAATCTCTAGTGTCCATTGCTTTAGCAATTACTTTAGACAATAAAGGTAGATTTTTGCTCTAAATTCTTTGTATTTGGTATACCATCTAGCTCCATTTATAAGCATTGTTTCATGTGCATGTGTTAGTATTAGAGGCATAGTAAAGATGCAATATGACAATTTATTAACAGTGTTTGTGTTCATGCAGGTGAAACTATTAACATACCAAAAGTAAATGGAAGTACTGCTAGAAAAGAAAAATCTGGCCCTAAACCAATAGTAATACCCATAGTTCTTAAGATGGCTGAATTTGATCATAAAGCATGGTTGCTTTCTCTTTTCACTCTTATATATCCTGCTTTAAATTGTAAAGTACATAAGAAGCTTGTAGTTTTGTTTTAGTAAATAATATGTGATGCGAATTGCTAAACTAAAGCATATGAAGGAGATACCAATTCAAATTCACGTTTAACAAAGATTCAAAATTTGGTGTTGCTTCTGATCTCTCTTTCTAAATTGTTGCAAGAATGCCTCATTAGCTACATTATGCATACATAGGCTACTAATGCGTAATGAAAAATTAGATGTGTGTTAGTAGTTTATGGAAGTTAGATGTTTGTTAGTGGTTTATGGAAGTTAGATGTGTGTTAATGGTTTATGGAAGTTAGTTGTGTGTTAGTGATTTTTTTTTATGGCTTGTAAATAGGAAGATCATGCCTTGTGACTAGTAGTCATTCTAGTTTTAGGTTAAAATCTTTTTGTATTTAAGGAAGTTGCATTAAATGAAGAAGAGGTACAACATTTTCAATTTCATATTCTCATTGTTCCTTCTCACGAGTTTTTTTTTGTCTCTGTAAAAACCAACAAAATTGGTATGAGAGCCAAGCTTTTTAGGGGATCTGTGAGTTGAGTGAACAAAAAAAAATTATTACAAAAAAAAATCCTCTACACAAACATAGCAACACATAAAACCCTTAGTCAAATGAAGTAAGATAAGACATTCTCTATTAAACCACCAATCTTTAATGGTGACAACTATCAAGTCTAAGCTGTTAGCATGGCAGTACATTTGGATGCTTTAGATCTATGGGAAGCAGTGGAAGATGACTATGAAGTTCCTGCACTACCTGTTAATCCAATAGTTACTCAGCTTAAGAATTATAAGGAGAAAAGGACTAGAAAGTCAAAAGCAAAAGTTTGCTTATATTCTGCAGTTTCAAGCATAATATTCACTAAAATCATGAACCTATAATCAAGCAAAGAGATCTAAGAGTATCTCAAGAAGGAATACCAAGGCTATGATAGGATAAAAAATATACAGATGCTGAATTTGATCAGAGAATTTTAAATGCAAAGAATGAAAAAGTCAAAATCCATTAAAGAGTACTTTGACAAGTTGCTCAGTATTGTGAGTAAGGTGAGACTATTTGGTAAGAATTTTTCTGATGAGAGAATTGTACAAAAAATTCTAGTTACATTACCTGAGAAATATGAAGCTAAAATCACTTCTTTAGAAGAGTCAGAGGATCTGTCAAGCATTTTTTTGGCAGAGTTGGTGAATGCATTGCAGGCATAAGGATGATGAGAAAAGAGAATTCTATGGAAGGTGCTTTTCAA